TAATATTTCGTCTCCTCGGCAAATTCTCGATTTGTGTATTTCATTAATATAATAGGTACGCCAGACACGACCGCGTGGTTACCGCCACCATATTATTATCGTTATTAATGCTCGCGAACGCACAAATCTCCACGCTCAGAATATTATCATTTACAACACATCAAAAACAACCGAATGACCGTGGACGAGCCACAATCATTTTGTCGGTCCTTTTAGACGACAGATTTACACATCCTGCGGTTAAACTGACTTAGCTATCTTTAGATGGATCTAAGACGCGTCATCGTCGGGACTTATATAGGTGTTATACTTATTTAGGTGCAAAATTACCTATATTTTATCACAAGATAGCTTCGTAGGGAAAATGATCTTAAGATTATCTCTAGAAATGGAAAGAGATTCTGAGCGGAGTTTGGTGTAAGTTTATTACAATAAAATGCTGGTGTAAATTACGATTAACACGAATTTTTTTTTTTTTTAATCAATTTAAATACAACTTATGATGAACCATGTATCAATATTTTGAGTATTGTTATAAACCTGAACAATTTTTTGTACTTAAAACCAAAAAAACTAAACATATCGAAAATTTAAAACTACTTCACAAAGTGCAAATGTCTTAAATAATGGTAGAATATTAAAACGAATATAATTTTACCTCTATAAAATTATATTATCAGTAGGTGTTCGGTAAAAATGTCAGTTCTCTACGATTATTTTTACTAAATTCATACCACCAAAAATCCAAATGGATTTTAAAAATTACCGCTGTTGAAGAAATATTTCCGGTTTTTCCTATTATTATATCGCCCTTAAGTCGGTGATTGAAGACACTTTTATGTTCACAGATAAAAAAAGAAAATTGTTTAAAAACCACACAGTTGACATAATAGGTAATTAATTACGGAGACATATTGGGCTGTTCATAAAACAATTAATCGTCTCCCAGTTACGTGTTTGTCACAAAATGATTTTGTTATATACCCAGTGTTTAAAACGGGTTTTAAGTATACTGTATAGGAAATTTGAACGACGTTTTTGAAAAAAAAAAAATGAAAATAACTAAAAAGAGTCCGTTATAAAATATTGTAAAATCACAATTTCTGCAGTGCATTGTGTGGAATCGTCAAATTTGTTGCGCAAAAACACTATATGTTGACACGAAATGAAAAATGTGATTCGTAGACTTTTAATGATTTCTAATTGGTACCTATATATAGAGTCAAACGGCAGATCAGAAAATATCTTAAATATTAAATTAATTGGCTGTGGGAAAAAAATCGCTGTAGAACTTTTATAATATAAAGTTTCCTTGGTCACATTGGTTTATCACAAAAAGTTTATATCCGACCGCGGTTTGTTTAGCCGTTTGAACTCAAACAAACGGTTCATTGATTTTTTGGAAAATGAAAATTGTCTATCCTTAAAGGTGCTCGTTCAATTATTATCGTTGAATTATTTTCGCCCGTATCTACTAGTTCGTATTTGATTCCGTAAGAATATTTTACTCAATGGTACCTTTTGATTTTTTCTTTTTTTTAAACAGGCACCTTTTAAATTTCTATTCGAGATATATTTATGTAAATATTATTTTAGAGTAATTATCAACCATATAAATATTGTCCAATGAAATAATATATATAAATATTTATGATTTTTACCGAGTAGAATTTATTGTAAGTATACTTACCTATATTTTATACTTCCATTTATTAGAAAAATAAAATTAATATAAAACGATATTAATATCTATAATTATTGTAAAAAAAATATGGATTCCAGTTTTTCAAACATATTTAAATTCGGTTCCGGTTCCTAATTTTTTTAGAGTTTTTGGCTTCCAGAATAGGTTATTTTCGATTCGATTCCAGTCCCTGGTTTACACGGGCATTTGAGTTTTGATCATATTATAGTCATTAAATTAATATTATTAATTTCGTAATTGTATATCGACGTAATGATTGTCTACCGTTTATTGATGTAATGATACCAAAAGTTATTTTTGAAACCATTAAATTCAATTGGGTTCACATGTTATTTATTCTTTATAAACGCATCACGAACACGAGCATCTAGTGTATGTTTTGTGTTACAATTAAGATACGTTTGAAAATCTGCTTAAAATTGCCATTTATTAAACTAAACTTTAATTGTCCGTTGCCGTTATAACTTCTGCAGCGACGCCTAAAAAATCAGATTTTAATGCGCTTAAAAAAAATTAAGGTGAAGTTCGTGTTATTAATTTATTTACTAGGTTTGTTCGGTTTTCAAACTTTTTAATATACAAACGATTTTCGAACAATAATTAGTTTTATGAACACGCTCAATTTATATAGTACCTATATATTTTATAAATACCATCAATTAATGCTAATAATACATTTTCGAAACGTTAAGCTTTTATTCACATTAATTAATTAACGTATTACCGTTGACATTTTAATTCGTAAAATCGATTTAAATAATTATTGTCTATTGTAGTAACTCAAGAAAAATAATTTCAATTAGTGATCAATTTTGGCAGTATAATTTTAGTTGTTAATCTTTGTAAGCCTGGAATTATTTACTGTATCAGTGGCGTATTTCCGGGGGGAGATTAGGAAGATATATCTCATGTATCGACCGTTTTTTTAGAACATAGTTTATACGGTTATTTGTTTTTAAATTCAAATGTCTCTACTTTTTAGTATTAAATTATTTACAAAATGTATGTAAATTAAAAATTTCACTTTTTTTTTTAGCCTAGTTGGGTTATACGTTAATCAATACTACACATTTTAAAAATTCATTATCTCTTGGCAAAATCCTAAATATGCCACTGCACTTTATAACCAAGTAACCAAATTTATAAATACATATTAAAAAAATCTCGAAGTTCTTAAGTTAAAATGATTTGATCGATATCACGAAAACCGTTTGTTGGTAAATTAATTGAATTCGTGTTTAATATTATACTTGTAATTTACATCGAATTTTACGCTGATGATGTTTTTATACTTTAATCTCTGTGTCAAAAACTTAACAATATTTTATATTATAAGTTAGGTACGTATAATACCCGAATACCGTTATACTCGATAATTTATATTTTCATATGAGTATAGAAATCTGCATAACACATAAATCCACTTGTTGTTTTTATAAATTCAATATACTGTACCGAGATGATGAGTATAATATGCAATAAATCCATATTAAATTTAATAATTTCTTTGGTTGGCAGTATTCAATGTTTTTTTTTTTTTTTTTTGTACATCAAATATGATAAAGTTTTTAAACAATTTAAAAAAGAAAAATAGATTTATGTTGTACAACATTATTCATATTTAAATTTATTTCTATTTTTGTTAACTTTTACAGTTTTCTTGGTGCAATATTACTATATAATTATTATTTACTTTGAAAAAATCGATTGAAAAAAAAAAGAATTGTCGGATTTGCAGAATCTTTATTTAAAAATGTTAGTTTCGTATCACTCCTACGCATAAATTATATTTTTACTCATGACCCTTTATTTGATATTTTCCATCAATTATAAATATATAATATTTTTTAACCCGTATAACGGATTCTCGACTTTTATTCGCCGTGCCTATTAAATATATAACTCCTCAATAATAATTTCGGGGATAAAAAAATAAGGTGAAAATTTCTCAAGTTTATAATAAAATATAAAACGAGAAATAAAATTATTACCAACTTCTAGTTCGGCCGTGGAATTATGTCGAGTTTGAAGTCGGAAGTTTTATATCGTCGTATACTCAAACGCACATGACAATACGTACCGCAACAACTTTTGTGTCACAGTCGTGCAATGAATTTGTCTCTCCGTTCGCGGTTGTGTATATACCTAACGTGCAGGTCCTTTTCAATTATTATTATCATTATTTCTCGTCCAGATTATATTTGAACGCGACAGACGTACTTACACCTCACTTGTAAATCTTGTAAATATTAGACAAAAAAAAAAAAATAACTCGAACTAGAGTACCTATACATATACTGCTTGCTAAAAAATCGACACAAACACTTGTGACCAAAGTACGCACGCGTTTGTTATAATATTATACATAAAGTAGGCGACATTCGAGACTTCAAAGAACCGTTATTTGTATCGGGTATTCGGAAACAATAACTATGATAGGTTTAGTATTGTTATATTAATAATAAATTGCACCTGGTGGCGTATTTAGGTTTTTTTCCTCGGAGGCGAATAACGGAAATTTCAGTTTATAAACGCATAGAGGGGCTATGCCCCCACACCTCTTTTTTAAGGTGACATCGGCGTCAACTTACAAATAAATATCTCACTTTTCATAAAAAAAAATTTTGTATCCATGTATTTATAATTATTTTTTATTTAAATTTGTATTACTACTATTAAGTATTATAAGTAATCATTTGATTATAATACAAAGTGTAATTTTCTGGTAATTAATGCAAGTTTGTTTATTACTTCACCAACTTTGATGTCTCGATGTATTTACATCATTGCCAAATCATTCAACTACACCTTAATTATGAATATAAAACGTATATTTTATTTACTAAAAGTAACAAACTTATAAATTACCCCTTTAATGGAATTTGTCAAGTATGTTTTTGTCGTTTTCATGCTTGGAAAGTTTTTTTTATTTTGGTTTGGCCGTTGAGACTGACAATATGTAATATGTTTAAATTAAGGGAAAATATCTTTATTGAATTTTACTGTACTATTGTTTAATTTTAGATTTTGCAGTGTACCGAAAAAGTTAATTAATTTATCTCATAAGTGTTTATTTATTTTATTTTATTTTATATACATATAAATGAGCTAGTGCCCAAAAAAGATAATTATATATTAAGGAAAGAGGGGGTCCTCATTTGCCAGTTTCATTAGCCGATTGATCGGTTGATTCAGCATGTAATTTGTTGTGCAGAGAAGAGTGTGGAAAGGAATTTTATGGCGAGTAGATTGTGTAGGAAATTTAAAATTAACAAATGAAAGAAGAGAGGGAGAATCAATGGCGGAATAGATAATTTATGTTAAGAAGAAAATATTGTGAGAGTAACGACGGTATGCTAAAGAAGATAATTTGAGTTTGGACTGGAGAATAATCGTGAGGTGGACAGGGTATATTTAAAACATAACTGGCATAATTTAGGAACTTCCTTTGGACGTCTTCAAGTTGCCGACACAAATCAGTACAGTAGGGATCCCAAACCACCGAACCGTACTCAAGAATCGTTCTGACGAGGGCGCAGTACAGGGATTTAAGTGAACCGGTAAACTTAAATTCACTTGAAACTCTCCTAATAAATCCCAGTAGTTTATACGCTTTGCATGTAACATTATTGATGTGTGAACGTGGAGATAGGGAAGGTGTAAATATGAAACCTAGGTCACGTATACTGTCAACTGATAAGAGTCCCAATTTATTGACAACATGGGTATTAACTATCGGAAACCGAACTCTGGTAAACGGCATCGAACGACATTTGTTATGTAACACATATTAATGGGTTAATTTTACTTTCTCGGAAAGCATTTTTTTAGTTATTAAAAACGAATTGAATTCTTCATGCTGTATCTTATTTCGGATACGGAATTCTCGACGGTGGTTTTCTACTTGAAAAATTTCTCTCGATTCCCTACAGTTTTTCCAAAAATTCAAAAAAAATAACCAAATAATAAACTACAATATATTTGTTTTAGTAGTGTTGACTTTTGGTTTACAAGTGAAAAAAACTTCACCAATACTAGGTATATACAATCCTACCAGTTTACTGGACCCCTCTTAGAATTGTTTTATTATTGTCGTAATTTATTGTTGCTTTCAGTTTAAAAAATGTAATTACATATACATCTTTATACCTTTTAAACTTGTTATCTACAACAATACTCTATATATAGTACGGAAAATGTTCAGCTTTTTTGCAATATAAATCACGAACTCCAGAGAAACTGGAAGTAACATTATGGTAGCTCTCTTTAGAGTCTAATGTTTAGCTTTGATACCAACTGTATGCTCGATTTTCCATTATACGCTCTACAAGTGAGAAATATTTTCGGGGAAAAAAAATAGATTTGTGTTTGCGTTTCCGTCACCTGGGTATCTCATTATTTTATGTTACCGAGTGAAAGTATCGCGTCGCGGTCGGTATGTTTAATTTTAATTTTTTTTTTTTTGCTGGTTAGAAAATATTTGTATCACACGGTTAAAATGTTGAAAAAAATACAAACTAAATGTACCAAACGACAGGCGATTATATCAATAATCATTAAAATATTATGCAAAAGAAATGCAATTGTGTGTAAAATATTATCTGTATAGATAATACTCGTATGAATAATATAAATTATGACGTATATATTATTTTAATGGTTTCTAAAATGTAACTTTACCCAATTAATTTGTTTGTACGATAACACTACGGCTCTTTCTGATTAATGAATGATATTATTTTTGTTTACTCTGTTATTATTTATAATATTCTAAAGCTATAATTATCGGTTTTTGTTTATTTATTTAATTACGTTTTTTTTTTTTATTTATTCGAGTCGTAATTAATAATAATCCAATAACACGTTAATTTTTTTTTTAACTTTTCATTACGATCATTTTTAGTTTTGACCTGCAAAATATTTTGAATTCGATTTTTATCGTCATTATAATATAAAATCATTTAAAGCTATAGCTGTTAGTTTATACTATGTTGAGTTGACGACAATTTGATCTACCGGATTTTTCGGTATACTGGTAAGTAAATACTGTCTTTTCGGTTCTTCTTCTATTAGTACTGTATTCGTTAACGAACGTTGAAAACCATGTTAGTTATTTCGTATTTATTAATGATTTTTCTGAATAATGAAATCGTAGATGACTATTGAACCACTTTCTAAAGTTGTCCATCCAAGAAATTTTAAGTCCCACGGTTTCTTTTTCCAATTATTTTGCTCTGGATTATCTGCAATAATCAATAATCTGGAATCTAATGATTGTCTTTTCAATAAATACCGTATAATCGGTAAATTCTGTGAATTTGAAAAATATACTGTACATAATATTTACGATAAATATCGTTATTTCGGTAAATAACCTTTATTAAAGGGAGATACAAAATTTACTGAATTAGTATCTTATCTTGTTTAGTACATGGTATATAGTAAGGACTGAAATATATAAGATGGACACGAAAAGGTTAGTGGGTAGGGAAGATTGTCCATCAGATATAATAGAAAAGGTGAAGTACGGAGTACGTTAATTTATTTACTTAGCGAGAAATTATTTTGTCCATTATATAATTCCAGTTTCCATATTAATATTTATGACTTATAATTCAGTGTTAATTTTTAATCTGTACAATTTCATATTATTTGGTAAGTTGCTAGAAAATTCTGGCCAAGGTCTATACGCAATACATGGAATATGGTGACAAATAATGACTTGATCGGTTTGTTGATAGTTACCGAAAACAACAGTATACTGGTATACCGAAAATACCGCCAAATTTCATAAATCACTATAATTATATTGTTCTCCACTAAAAGTTAAATAGGAAAATAAGTTGTTTAAATAATTTAAACAATGACTTAAGTGGATTGTAGAAATGTGTTTCATAACTACTAAGTTTTGGTTTTACGCCATCATCAGGTTACTGATTAAACACTGAGCATTGGTTTATATAAATAAATTTGAAACAAAAATAAAATAAAATAGACATATAAACAAATTATCATATTTAAGTTGATACTTACCTAATATTTGTTTTAATTACACGCCATTTAAATATGATATTTTGTTTATATTTATGTGTTATTTATTTATGTATGTAAATCATTCCGCAGCGTTAAATCAGTAACTTGGTGATAGTGTAAAGCTGAAACTTCGTAGTTATAAAACACAGATTTTTTACATTTCTAACTTCTTAGTCATAGTTTAAATTGTTTGAACAATTTACTTTCCTATTATGTACAAGAAGTGAATTTTAAATTTACAAGTTAAATGCACGGATACTGTAAAAATATTCGTAAACGGTATGATAAGTACGATTATACATAAATATTATATTATATAATTAACGATTTGATAAAATTAATATTATATTATATATTTATGAAAGCCAGTAGTAAAAAAATAATAAATTGGCCGATTATATTCGTTAAGTTGTCTTTTTAAAAATTAAAAAAAAAAAAAAAAATTATTTTAATTAGATGTTATTGGCCAGAATATGAAATTTATAAAAGTATATAAATTTGTACGAGAGTGACAATTACTTATTTTGATTGGAAATTGAATGATTGAAGGAATTGGATAATGGAAAAAAACGACCTAGATTTTTTTAGTAAAATTGGATCTGGGTACTTATTTTGGAGAAAACTATTTGAAGCCAACGATAGTACTTGCATTTATATAATATAATATAATTCAGCATCATATATTACTAAAGCAACTTTACATTTTCTAAAGGTCCGAAATTCGTCGTCGGTCCATTTCTATACGTCTGCCGCGAAAATCCGAGGTTTTCGGCAACTTCTTTCTATACAGTAACAATCTATAGCTATAAAATATTCAATATTGATTTTTTTTCGAAAATTTTCTGGACATCCAAGTTCGTTGAAAATGTCGATAGAAATTGCATCAATTTATCGGGTTCAAGTTATTTTTGTACCTATAAACCAATCACATACGTGCGAACAACAAATTAATATCAAACGAACAATTAGCAATATTTTTATTTGTAAACGATTATGTCATTAACAATTTCTATAAATCGAATTTTATTCGTATTTTATTAAAAAAAAAATATATATATATACAAAATTCATGATATCGCGGGGAGATGAATAATATTTAATACAATTATTATTACTTTGTATAGTTATTAAAATTTTACAAACAACCAATTATACAGTTTGTTTATCGAATTTACGTAATTTAGTGGCGCGTGTATATTTTATCAATTCCGAGTTTCTTTGTTTCGTATGTACAAATGCCAAATATGAAGTTTAACGTATTTTTGGCAATAGTGTATCTTTTAATATTTCAGTCTGTTGTACAATAGGGATGTATACCAATTATAATTTGTGTAATAACTTAAACTGTTATAAATTTGGCTTACCCGATTTATTATAGTAAACTAATAAATAAACTAACCTCAACTTAATTTTAACCTTTTACTAGTAACTTAGTTATTAAGCTAATACCTAACGTTTTTGGTTGTTTCTTATTAATTTAATTTCTCCTTTTTAAGTTGTGTATTACGTTGTTATTGTTGCTAATAAGTAATTTTGTAAATTGGACTCCAGCCCGTTATCTTTTTAAAAAATATATAAATAAATTCATAACTAACAACATATTTTAAACGAGTGCAGTTATAGTTATAATACATTTTGATGTTTATAATACAGTACTGATTGAATTTCATACCAGAATCCCGAATTCGAACTATACTATATAAGCTATAATAGTATTATAAGAACATATCGAATTTTTATCCTGCGATAATATAATATTATTTTGGTTTGGATTAAGTTGTATAAGTTGAAAATTGACGAGGATATTGATGATTTTTTATTCAATAGAATGGCCGAATTTGAATATTCCCGTCTGCAGTAGACGTTTTTGAAATGCTTACAAATAGTCACAAAGATACGGGGCGAAGGATAGTTGTTTTCAGGGTTTTAAAATCACGGTAAATTTCACGGTATACAGTATTATTTAGCGCAGTAGCTTTACAGTATGCATGTGGAGCGGCAACGACCGAGTTAGATGAAAAAGTTTAGGTGTTTTGGATTGAAAAATATTAAGAAGAATTCTTAGACCGAAGAAAACCGACATTACGGATTAGGACTTTGGGAGATACAAACAAATGAGGAAGTGGAGGAATACGATACGGTAAAATATCCAGTAATACAATTTACTGATTATTTAGCCGAGTTAAACTATTTGTTTTTTAAATTGATTAACAGTCATACAACTACTAACTGTATAAAGTATCGAATGTCCAGTAGAATTTATATATTTTTATTTCTTCGTGTTGATCGAAATAAAACCAAAAACCGCAGCAGTCGTTTGATGAATTCCCTTCCGGATACTATTATGAAAACTTGTACGTAATATACTAAACATAAATCCGATTTTATTCCGACAGGTCCATTGAGGTAAATTACTTTATAAAGAAATAAGAACATACGTCGTTCAGGGTATATACTTCGGCAATATGCTCGAATAGTGACCGAGTAACTTTTCGTATTGAAAGGAATGTTTTTTCTTTTTTTTTCCTTCTATATTTAAACGGTCGTACGTTAGAGAGAAAGAACAAGCAATATAATAATATCTAACGAGTCGAAAAATAAAGCATCGGGCGTCGGGCATATTATTATATTACATTATTGTACTTACTTTTTGCAAAAATAAAACAAATTATCGATTTTTCAATGACCTCGTGATGGCCCCGGGAATTATAGTATTTTTCGAGTTGAATC